TTTTTTTTTTTTTTTTTATTTTTTAATTTAATCCCCTTTTTTTTTTTTTTTTTTTGGTTTTTTTGTTTTGTTTTTGTTTTTTTTTTGTTGGTTTGTTTTTATATTTAGAAATTTAAAATTTAGAAATTGCGTTTGTGATAATTTTGTGTTAAGTGTATTAATTTAATCTTAATGTAATTATATTTATACGTTATATGTTATTGTTACAGGATTATGGTGGAGACAGAAATGATTACAGTGGGATTTTTGTACATGATGGCCTGTTCGAAGATGCTCAACAAGCGATTGATTGGGCAAAACAGGTTGCAATTAGATCAGGCTTTTGTTTGGTAGTAGCAACTCATAAATCTCAACGGGATGGTAGAATGGATCGCATTTTGAGATGCGACCGTTATCGCAAAAGAGAAGAACGAGATTTCAGTAAAGCGATTCGGTTTGACTCAAAGCGGAAAGGTTGTGGGTGTCAGTTCCGAGTTAAGGTTCGACAACATCAAAGGCGTGACGGTTGGGAAGTGAAGGGTTACGGCAAATGGGGATATCACAACCATGAGCTGATAGCATACAAAGTGGGGCATCGGTGGGGAGGGGGACCTTGCGATCAAAATCATTGGTTCGATGCGCCACTTGATCTCTTTGCCGTTGCAAACATCTACAAGTGTGCAGTCATGCATTTCGGCCTTGGTTTACATAGTCGAGCCTATTATCCATGTACAACGGTTCTGCCCTGGTGTTCGCGCGAGAACGTCACCAGACCGGTAAGGGACGTTGCTATTGGATTTCTTGGGCCGTCATACAGACATTTTATCCGATTAGACATGTCACCCGATTTTCCGGTCCCACATATCATACCGAAGTGGTATGAAATTCGTAGAGCAAGCGTGGAGGGTTGGGATGCTTTGTACCATGCTCGCGTGCAACAGTGGAACAATTTAATTGCCATGTAGTTTTTGTTGATGTACACCTACCTTTTACTATGAGGCCTTGTATTGTCAATACTATGTCATTTCTATGTGTTCATTTTTAAAAGATAATGTTTCATTTTAAAAACTAACAACAATAATTTCACAATATTACAAACTAAAAAGATAATATTGAATTTTAAAAACTAAGAACAATAATTTCAAATATTACAAACTAAAAAGATAATGTCTAATTTCAAATATCAGTAATCCCTCTGTGACGCCCACTGCCACTGCTCAAGAGTCCGTTCCAGATCGTCAATAACAGCTCTGCCTGATGCACTCGTCATGCAGTCCCTTTCCTCAAAAAGTCGGTGTCCCAACTGCATAATCTTGCCCATCCACTACACAAAACAAAAAACATGAAACGACGTATTATACATATATATATTAAAATAAGAGAACAACAAATAAAAGATGAGACGTACCGCATAAGAGGCAGTGGCAGGTGGCACATCGTCATCATCTGCGTCGTCGATGTCTTTGATCAACCTCGGGTGCGAGTGCCGGATGTACCATTCCATGTAGTGCTGGTCACACATGGCAGTCACCCCACTTGGCGGCCGCTGCAGCTCCGCCGTCCATAGGCGGGCAACCATCGGAAACTGCTCCCACATGGATATCATGTTTGCCGGCCATTGGACGACGTACTCCTTCGACGACGCAGATCGTACCGCCTTACTGGGCCATGCCGGTGGAGGTGGGACAACTTGGACAAATCCAAGCTGGCGAAGACAGCGCTGCGGCATGTACGCCTCTACGATCTCGCGATACTGAATCAGTCCGGTGTAGAGGGTCCTGGGTACCCTATTACTAGGGTTCTGGCCGAAAGGCATCCAGTTCACCTGCACATTATTTAAAATCAGTAACAGTCATAAAATAAAGCATCAGATTGTAAAAGTAGAAATAATTTAATCACTGTACCTCTAAGGGGGACATCCTGTCAAGCGATAACCGTATGGAGCGCAGGCGGTCAACGGACTTCTTCTCGACACGCGGACTCCACGCACAGGCACGTGGCTGGCCATCACCAATGGGAACCGGGTCGCGGTGTGGTCGAAACGCAGGAAAATACTCGTATATCCAGGTCTGTAACAACGTCAGACATCCAGTAATACCTGCTGCATCAGCCCGGCTCGAGAATCCTAACTGGCGATACAGATACGCCAGCGTAGCCGACCCCCAAGAAAACTGGCCTACTCTGTCGGGCTCACACGCGTCAACTATGTCGCGTGGCCTGAGCTTGTTCCCGCTCTTATCCGGAAACAAGGTACACCCGAGAAGAAGAAAAACATATGCAGCCAGCTGTGTGTCCTGCGTCTTACGTGCCGTAGGGTGCAAACATCGCTGCAAGACGGCTGCGATCTTAACGCCGCCGTGATCCCACACACCAAGTGCCGATGTGTACAGCGCAGCCCTATCCACCGCCAACAGCTCCGCTAGTAAATCTGCCTGATCCGCATCAGTGACGACAGATGCTCGGTTTCCCTCCACGGGAATCCCAAGGATGGCCTCGACGTCATGCAACATGATCGTCATCTCACCGAACGGAAGGTGGAACGAGTTCGTATCCGGCTGCCATCGCTCAACGAAAGCCGTGATCAGCGTCCAGTCAATCATGTCGTGCATGGTGGCAGGAAGGTGACTCACTCTAGTGCCCCTCAATCGCCCGACCATCTCGCTCTCCTCCGGCCATGCATCAGCCCAGCTACAAAAAATATTACCAAAAACAAAAAATATAAATACAAAAAAGGACGAAAATAAACACAAAAGCAAATAAACAAGTAACGGAAATAAAATTATAAACATAAAAAATAAAAATATAAACAACACAATATAAATAAAAACATAAAAAATATAAATATAAACATAAAAAAATATAAATATGAACAAAACAATATACCAAAAACAAAATATATAACCAAAAACAAAAAATATAAACAACAAACTAAAAAATGAAAAACATAAACAAAAACAAAAAATCAAAAATGCAAAGAAAAAACCAAAAACAAAAAACTAACAAAACTTAAAAAATTTAAAATTGCAAAAACTTAAAAAAAGAAGAACATCAAAATTTTAAAGAAAATTTATAAAAAAAAAAAAGGGAACTTACAATTTTTTTACATACAAAAATATAATTCAAAAAAAAAAAAAAAAATACATAGGAACATAAAATTAAAAATTAAAACCAGAAACAATCTTTTTTTTTAAAAAAAAAATAGAACATAAAATTAAAACAAATAAAAAAACAAAATTTAAAAAAAAAAGATAAAAAAAAAAGGGAACATACAATTTAAAAAAAAAGAAAAACAAATTTTTTAAAAAAAAAAAAAAAAAATTCGAAAATAAAATTTAAAATTAAAAAAAAACAAAAAAAAAATTTAAAAAAAAAAAGAGAAGGAGGCGCCTAGGCAAGACGCCCGTATGGTGGTGACGGCGCCTAGCCCAGACGCCACTACCACGGCCGTGGCGCCTAGCCTATGCGCCGCCGCCGTGGTAGTGGCGTCTGGGCTAGGCGCCGTCACCACCATACGGGCGTCTTGCCTAGGCGCTTCCTCCGTGGTGGTGGCGTCTCGCCTTGGCGCCCCACCGTCGCCGGAGGTTTTTTTTTTAAAAAAAAAATTACAAAAATTTAAAAAATTACCTTCTGGCCGGCAAACCGCCTTCCGCCCACCGCCGGTGCCGCCACTTCCTTGCCGGGCCGCCTCGACATAGCTCTGGAAATAATTTAGAGAGAGAAAGTGGAAGTAGAGAGTAGAGAGAGAAATTGTGTTTTTTAGTTTGAGGGCAAAAGTGTCATTTCACTCTTATTTTGTGGGCTTTATGTAGGAATTTGCGGGCGATGTTTAACAGTTCACTACTAAAATTAGTATAAGGAGGATATAAGGTAGGTAATGGGGCGGGGTAGGAATAGGGCGGGTTTATTCTAAAATTCATACCCGCCCCACCATCTGTGGTGGGTACACTTTTTATACCCATTCCCACCCTTTCACCTGCCAAACGTCCCTTCACCCCCACTCCATTGGAACAGGTCTTCTATTTGACCCAACTCATTGTCATCCTTAGCTCTACTATAACTTGTGGTGCAAATCTCAAATAAAGTGGCCTAGACTAGCCCATGGATTATAACATGTCGTGTCGTGCTATCCTTTTTTTTATTATTATTATTTTTATTATTATTAGGGTTATGTCGTGTCTTGGATTGGCCAAACCCAGTGCCACTATACTTTGTATTGGGTTATGTTGTGTCTTGGATTGGCCAAACCCAGTGCCACTTTTACGAGAAATGTTCATGTAGTTTGGGTTAGGGTGAGGAGATTTTCAAATTGTGGATCAAGTTCATTTGCATAGTTACATGTCTATTGAGAAATAGCTTATTGTGCAAAATAATTTAACTTAAGTCGTATCTAAATTCAATCCAATCTATTTAAGTTGGATCAAATTTAACATTTGATAAGTTTCAATTCCTCCTTATTAGATCAATTTCAAGTCATCCACTTTAAAATACGCTCCAAATTCAAACCGAACCGATTTTGCTAGGTATCTTAAATCTAAGGGAGTATTCGTATGCAATGCGCCGTGCAACTTTTATATGAGACCATGTTTTATCATGAATTATGATCTTAAACTATGAGGCATGATTCATGAATCATCCGCTCGTGACAATTAACAAGGGTTAAATCTAACCATGGTTAACCTTTAACCAACCCTTCAACTAACCCAACTCCTTTGGTTTTAAATTCCCACTCAATGCCATTCCTTTGCTTCGGTGAACGAGAAATACCATTTAAAAATACTCCAAATTACAAAATAAAAAAATAAAAAATAAAAAACGGGGATGTTCAAGATTCCGTTAGATCTACAAACGGCGTTAAATACTAACCCGCTTAAATATATAACGGTAATGAAAAATCGTCACAGTTTTTGGGGAAGACGATGTATTAACCGTTAGATTGAAAATCAACGGCTGTGATTTTAAGATGGGAGTTGAAGAAAGAAACGGGTGGGTATAAAATGAGCAGTTTAAGAAGAGAGAGAACATTTCTTTTCTTCTTTTCTCTCGTTTCTCTGTTTGTATCATTCAAGCTTTCTCTCTCTACTTTCTCTCTCTTACCTCTTTCATATGCACTTTCATCTTCTTCAATTCTTCAACTATTTTCAATCTTACAATTTTGTTGATAATTCTTGAAGAAAATGCAATGAAAAACAGAGTAATTGATGAATTATGAGTGTAGTTTTTCTCTGTAGTTGACGATCTTGAATGAGCTTTGTTTTGTTTCTGGATTTTGGTGCTGGATTTTTAAAGGTTTGTAGTTTTGTTTCAATGGCGGAATTTGGAAATTAATCAGTTAAAATCGGAAATTTGTGGTTAAATTGATTAAAATGTGTGAAGTTTCATGATAGAAATTTCATCCTGGTTGAAAATTTTGATACGGAATTGGACGATTGAACGATTGAATGAATTAAAACTTGTTGATCGAATTTAGGCTAACAAATTCATAGCATTTCTGGTAAAAATCTACTAATTTTGTTCAAATTTCTTCTTTTTTACAGCTACTTTTCAGGAAATCGATCGATTTCTTCAGTTCTGCGGTTGAATTCAGAGAGAAAAACAGGTAATTTGTCGCGAAGAGTGAGAAAAATTTCTGGAAAAACACTGATTTTTGCTCCATTTTTGTTTGATTCTTCACCAATTTTGATTATTAACCTGGTATTGTGCTCAACAAATTTGTATTGCAGCGATTTGAAAGATCAATAGTACAGAAGAATCAATAACAAAGAAGAGGAGAGAAACTGCAATTACTGGTACCGATCTTCGAAGTCGTCGCTTCATTTGATTTTCCGCCATTTTTGTTGAAATCAGCTCAATCTTAAGGTTTATCTTCAATTTTGCAGAGCGTTGAAGAATCTTCTGCATTTTCCTCCTATTTTTAGAATCCAAAGATTGAAGCTGAGATTTAATTTTCCATTTCCAAAAAATCGCAAGTTTAATCTTCAGGTAAAACAATGTCTCTATCTTCTTTGTGATTTTCTCTCACTTTCAGCAATTTTCTGATTTTTTTGCTGAATTTAAATCGATCAGTTTTTTCTTTCTATTTTCTTCTCAATTTCATAACGCCAAATGTATTTCTATAAGTATTTTACAACGGCGGTTTTCTGTAGATTTTTCTTCTATTGAGTGGTTTTCTGCAGAATTTCTGTCTTTTGAGTGGTTTAATTTACCAGAATTCTTCATCTTTTTTATCGCAATGTAATTCAGAAGTTGTTAAACGGCGGTTTTCTGCTGTTTTAGTGGTTTTCTCTTTTCAGCTATTCAACACCAATTTCTAACTTGTTTTTCTTCTTAATTTTTTTGCGCCAATCTTCTCCATTTTTTTTTTCATTTAATTTTGTATAATTTCTTAAAAAAAAATTTCTTCTCTGTTCTATCTGGTTCAGTTTCTAAATGAGTTACTAAAAAAACAAAATTTTGGATCCCTAATTTGCACAATTGTTGGCTAATTAGAGTAGGCCATTTTTTTTTTTGGTTAATTTTGATTTATTTTTGGGAAATTGATTTTCATTATTTTATTTTCCGCCATTAATGTTGCTCTGAGTTTTAGGTGTATTTCTTTGATTTTATTTATTTATTAATTTTTTTATTTATGGTTATGAAGGAGCTAGAAATGAATTTTGTTTTTCTTTTAAAAAATGTCAATGATGAGCATGGGTTTGAAGTTGAATGTATTTTAGTGTATGAAATATGAGATGATGATATAAAGTAATAAAGGCAGCTTAACCCCATCTCTTCTCTACTTCCAGAATCTTATTTATTTTTTTTAAAATTTTGTTTTAAAAATCATACCCAACTAACCCAAGTTAACCTAAACCAAATAATGTTTGAATTAACTCTAGTCAATAATGCTTAATTTCTGACTGTATTCTAAATTATGTCTATATATACTATTTGTTCTATGATGGGGACAGGTGTAGTAGATGGAAAAGGAAGTGGTAAAGAATCATCATCACCAGCAGCAACAACAGCATCATCATCATCATCCCCACAACAATAATACTACTACCTCAACAAGTAGTCTTAGAGAGAAGCACATAATTGGGGAGGGATTCATTAGGCCTCCCCAATCGGCCGATTTCGTGTTGCGGTGGGGTAGCCGGAAACGTCTCAGGTGTATGAAGATCCAGGTTAAAAATGAGTCTACCCCGGTCACCACCCGGACAACTGTCCGGGTGGACCGGCGGGTAGTTAGATCCGATAATAATAATAATAAAGATAATAATAATACAATTGGTAGTGGTAATCATCCTGCAAATGGGTATTTTAATCTCCGGCAACGGCCTGCATCTCCAGCTCGGCCTCCTTCGCGAATTCTCAGGTATAACTTTTATAATTTTTGCTGAACTGCTGAATTTTTGCTCAATTCTTGATCATGGTTTTATTGTGTATTTTTGAATGAGCTAATTGTCATTTATTTTGGTGTATCTGCTATTTTGTGTGTGTATAGTTGTTGAGAATTATGACTGTTTACATATATAAACAAAATTGGATTGTTGTTTGCCAATTCATCCCAACTTGAGCCTATTTTTGTGAATTGTGAGCCAAAGATGGCTTGATGTGAGGACTGTGCAAAAATGCTTTGATTAAGGTAGATCCACCTTGTAATAAAACCACCTTGAACGCCATCGAATGTGGTTCTTGTTGAGGATGATTTCTTAAGGACATCTAGTGGTTTGTGAAGATAGATTAAACTTTTTAGATTATTTGAAAATGGGTGAATAGATTTTGGTGGAAATTCAAATTTATGATGTCGGCTTGCGGAGAAGATGCTTAAGTTGGTGCTTTCATCTTTAATTGGGTCAATTTATATGAGTTTGGCTTTACATCTCACCCATCTTTTCAGACTTCTCCTTTATCCTTATTTTTTAAGTTTTTCTGTATCTAGAGTTTGTTGGATAGTATTATAAATGAATGATAACAAGTACATTACACGCAAGCATTTCTTGTCTACTTTGGCTTACCTCAAGGAAGAAGCCATGATGTAGACATTTAGATTTCATTTGGTTTTTCTCAAGTAGTCAAGTGGATACCATTATACCGCAAGGAAGTAATCTTATCTTTTTAGCTTGTAATGCTATATAAGCCGTAAGAGCATTGCTTTGCAAAGGTGCTATTTTGGGACGAACGGAAGTTTTCCAGGTACCTTTTTTGCCAAAATACTCTGGATTTTGAGGGTTTCTTTCTCTTACAGTTCCTTTTAACTTTTAGATTTGGTGGGTGATCTCTCGTACAGAAGTTGTGGGTATTGTGTTTAGTCTTAGCGCCCAGCAGCCAATTTACGGTGAAGTATGCTATACAAATATACAATACAAGAGTTATATGATGCACCCACGAGGCATTATGTACCCATGAGGCATGCTCATGTCTTGAATATACTTTGTGGTGTACAATGCAATGTATAGTTGGTTGTAAGTCTTGTAACTAAATGATTATAGTGATTTAGGTTCAAAATTTTGTAAACTTAAAAGAGAAAAGTTTTAAGTGTTTTGTAACTTTTTGGTGTCCTTTCGGCAATATTTTGGATGTATTTGACTTAATATTCCAAAGTATAGGGATGCAAAAAAGTTATGAATGTAGCTTGAAAATTTATCTCTCAATTCGTTTGCAAAGTTAGTGGAGTATAACCCAGTGTTAATTAAAATCTTTTGTTTTGATGGAGAATGTTATATTTACTCACTAGGTACATTATCCACTAGAAATAGACTATAAACAATTATATTTCTAATGGGTAATCTACCCACTGGGTAGATATAGAATTTTCCAAATTAAATATTTGCCGGCTTCTTTGGGGAGTGTTTATTAATTAGAGTAATTAATTAAGAGATTAAATATGTTTTTTTTTGTTAGATCTATAGATAATTATGGAGACTCTCAAAAATGGAAAAATCAGATGGTTCAGTTAGGTTTTACGAGATTTGGCTCATGCTAGGGTTGTGTTCATACGGATTGAATTTTGTTTGAGTCACTTCGGGTATAGACAAGTCTTATTAGATCTTTAGTATGTAGAAGTAGATATTAAAGTATGGGGGTTATTGTGATATACCAATAATATTTGTGCTGCCAAGGACTTGTAGCATTGTGTTTTCTCATGTCCAGTAGTAGGCTCTGTGCTCTTTGGTGCTCAATATTGGTGGCTTCTTAGTATTCATTCTCCTATAGTCCTATCTCATCTCCTGTAGTTGGGACTTGGGACTTGGAAGGCATAGGGCTGTTTCCCATATATATCTAAACTTACCATCACTATTGAAGTATTGAGTGCCCCAGTTATTCTGGTTTCGATACAGAGTAGTTACTGAAATGTATCTGACCAGATTGTTCCCAATCGTTGCATTTAGAGCAATTTGATTGATGATCATAATACTTTGCCACCCTTCGATCAGTTCCTTAATTTTGCTAAATAGTAAGATGAGTGTGAAGGAAACGAATGTGGGAGATGAAGACTTGTTGTTATTTGGGTTGGTGTTCCCTCTCTCAATCTAGATGAATTGAGGATAGCTCATGTTGGATTAGTTTAAACGATAGGTCATGTTGTATTATTTGGTCCTGTTATCAAACACCTATCCTTCTTTTTGTATTATTACATCGACTTCAATAATCTGCATCTCTGTCTCTGTAACCCCATTTATTTTTTTTCATCTGAAATTAATTGTCAAGTAAATAGTACGGAGTATAACTTTAATGTGATACCACCGATCCGGAGTAACTAAACTGAAAGGTATAGTAACAATGTCCGTGGCCGATGACCTATGTTGAATGTACCAACATACTAAATTTGGACTAATCTTGGGGTTGACGAAGCACATGTTTGTAGACTTTTCAAACTTTTTCTTCCTTCTTTAATCTTTATATGAATGGCCATTTTCCGTCGGCATCTTTACGCTCCTAGTGTAGCATTTGGTTCCTGTGTTAGGCCCACAGTCCCACACACAAAGGGCAGAATTAGTGAATTATTGTGGCCTTTTGTACTCCTATTTTGATTACTTGAATAATGTAGTACTAGTAGTTAGTTTAAGCTTAAAATGGAGCAAAAATATCATGTTATCTTTGCTTGATAATTTCACGCTCTTTTAGCTAACAGCAATTTAGTTGTTTCGTATTGTATTTGATATGATAAGACACATTGTACTGCGTATAACAAACTTGTCATGCGCATGAAATGATAGTTTTGAATACTAATTTTATTGCGCTTAAAAGCCATGATGATCTATGACTAAAATGAGATATTTAACTTGATTCTCACTTATTTGGATTTATCTTATCTTATTTGAATTATATGAATTTATTAGATCTTATTAAAAATTATTTTAGTTGTAATTTGAATTTAGTTAACATTATCAGAAAATTCAGAATTTATTTTTCAAATAAGGTGAACAGACAGTACTTTGTGATATATGAAGTATGAAATCAAATAGGCATAATCTTGAATGATTTTTTCCATATGAATGACATATTTATTGCTTTTTGGGAGGATCACATATTCACATAGGATATCATTCAATTTGATTCTCGTTTGATTTTTTTACCTGCCTTTAAGATATTTTATGGTCTGTCAATTATCTAAAACAATCTTGTGTGAGTTTGTTTGACTGTCACAATTAATTGCCTGAACTTTCCATTTCTTTCATGAAATTGAATCTTTAGAATTATGGATTAAACCTTTGAATAATATGTTTCCATGAACAAATTAATTACTCCGTAGATTTTACTCTTCTACGCTTAATATGCAACTCTATATTTTCCAAAATGATACAAAGTTAATAATTTTTAACCAAATGTTCTTAGTCATTAAACTCGAAAACTCTGTAATTAGTATGTTTAGTGCTTTAAACATTTTCTTATCCTTTATTTTATGGATTGAAACACCTATCTAATTTCCCGATTTTGATGTGGATTATACTCCCTTGTCTATTTAACACTTTGTATGAATTTGATACATTGACCCAAAAAAAAAAAAAAAAAAAAAAAAAAGAAAAGTAAAGTCATGCCACGTGGACCATAGACATTGTATATACACCGTTTGATTAGTACAACCACCAGCAAACTCACACATAGACACGTACTTTTTCTGTAGGCAATAAAAAAAATAAAAATCACACCGTAATCCGACGGTCCAAAACACAATCGGAAATCGCATCTTTATTTTTATTTTTTTTGCTGCCTAAAATTTTTCATTTATTAATATTATCGAATCACACTTGTCTCAATTTTCTCTACGTTTTCAGCAAAGGTAACCCCTTTCGCCTAACCCCATTATTCTCTCTTTCTCTCTCCTCTTTTTTTTTTGTTTCTTCATTCAAAAGACCATTTAGCCCTTTACATAAAACTAAACTCACCCACTTTTTTTAATAACCTTCCAAGGTTATTTTTGTAATTTCTTATTAATATGTCATATAAAAATGGTAACTTTTATGATATAAATATTATTCTATGGTTATTTTATTTAATTAATTATATTATTTTTTTATGAATTTTGTGTAGGAATTCAGAAGTTGGATCAGGAATGAAGGGGCAGCATAGTAATGGAGGAGGAGGGATGAGAGGGTTGGGGTCACCGGAGAGAGAAAAGAAAGGTGGGTCCCACCACCATCATAATCAGCAAGAGAATTTGGTGGTGAATGGTGGAGGTAAAACGGCGTCGTCTGAGACCAAAGGTGGTGGGTCATCTTCGGGCGGTGGAAGCGACGTCGTTTGGCCACCTAAATTTATGATCGCTCTTACTAATAAAGAAAAAGAGGAGGATTTTATGGCAATCAAAGGCTCTAAGTTACCTCAAAGACCCAAAAAGCGTGCTAAGTTTGTTCAACGTACCCTCAATGTAAGCCTTCTCTTCCGCTTTCCTCTCTTTCTCTCTCCTACTTCATTTTTTTTTTTTTTTAAAAAAAAAATCTTTATTTGTTGTTTATTAAAAAAAATTGACTAAAAGCATTTTTTACATTCTGTCACGCAGATTTTAAAGTTTCCGGTCTTAAATAATAGACCACATTTTATATTGTTTAAAAAAATTGTTTATGTTTTTAATTAAAGCGGCATATAAAAGACTAAAGAAATTACTCGTATTAATAAATATTTAACGCAAATAACTTTCTTATTATCCGTCCTTGGCTCTCTAAACACCAAAAAAAAAAAAAAAAAAGGTTAGCGTGTAGATGATTCTGTCGTGTGATTTTGTTTTAAAATTCGCGTACTTGTACCATGTTAGGAAGCATATATTAGTGCAATATATGCAAGTACGTTATTGATGATATTATTTGCAACCTCTTAATAATGAGAGTGATTTAAGAGTTTTTAAGGAAAATTTTGAAAACTTGTTAATGTGAGTACGTATGTGACATTAATTTTGAGAGACGGCATAGATACGGAAATGTGGTCTATTATCTAGAGATAGACAGACTAATTATTTAAAGATGAAAGGTTTCCTTATATGTTGATTACACAAATAGTAAGTCATGTAATATTTCAGAAAAGCACATGTATGAGCTTCTAAAAACAGACTTGAACTGGGCAATTTGAAAAAACAAATAAGAGTGACGTTTTTTACGGTTTGAGAGAATATTTTGGTTCTTGAGTTGGGTTTGTATAAGCAAAAGTTGTCTGGGAAAAACAGAAATGGTGCTTATTTTAAATTGAGATGTCATTTATTATGCGCACATTATCATCTACTTCATACAATGTTGCCTGAAAATGCAAACTGAAGTTGAAATTACTATACTTTGGGCCACCCGAATAAATTAGGCATTGGACCATCAGTCCATCAGCTATTAAATTTTGGGTGACTTGGTTATAAGTAAGTAATTAAGGTGTTAGGTGTATGTGCTCCAACTTATTATAACTTCATATGATATAAAGCAAAATTTAGACATAGTCCTTGACTGTTCCAAAACAATATTTTAGCCTACAGCAAATAGTGCCATTTATACAACTCGATTCCAGGGAAGCTTAATGGTAAAATACTTGTCAATATGATGTAACCTACTAGGTGTTCTATTGAGTCAGGTCGTAATATCAATGCACCTATGGGCTTTTGGTTCAGTATGATGATCTTAATTTGGGTGTGCTTCATTCTCTGTCTAATCTACTTGCCAGTATTACCACACTAGCTTGTGCTGTTTAAACTTGCATACGGGTACAAGAAATAGTTTAAAAGCAGATGATTTCTCTCAATAAAGCTAGAAAAAGTATGAGCATTTCCCTTTACTTGTATGGTGCTTATGAATTCAAGTTATTGTTTTCCCTTTTTATTTTCCTTTTGAGGCAAAGAATCCAACTATCGATATTTATTAGCTTTTATGTTTTCTGCATGTGAAGTCGTATATGGTTTGTTTAAACTCAACTGTAATTTATGTGCAGTTAGTGAGCCCTGGAGGTTGGTTGTGCGATCTTACTTTGGAGCGCTATGAGGTCAGAGAGAAAAAGATTACAAAGAAGGTAATTCAGGTCATACTTTAAACCATATTCAATTTTACACTTCATAGCTAAGAAACTAAGATGGCTCTCTAATAAGATGATAACCACCCATACTGCCATGAAAATTGTATGAACGCTTACTGTTAACATGGGATTATTTCGATGTTGAGTCTAATGTTCTTGTTATGTATTGCAGAGGCCAAGAGGATTGAAGGCAATGGGCAACTACATGGAGTCGGACTCTGATTAATAGTTGGTAGGGTTGTTCTTTCATACTTCGTATAAGTTATGGTAGCATCAGCATATTGATGGAAAAGGAAGGAAGTTTATGTAAATTATCACTTTTTCATCCCATGAAAGCAATGATGAAGAAAATAGATTTTTGTTTTCTGATACTCGTTTTGCCTTCTTCCCATTCCCTCTAATCCTTTACTCCATCGTAATCTAACGTAGTTGACACCATATCATGGCCATTTTACAATTTCATATGCATAGATCATGAAATTAGATTTCTAACAAATTCATAATCTTGATGATTTTGCCTTCTTCCAGTCATGTAGGAGATGTAAGTCATGTAACTCTGTTCGTAAAGCATGCTTCAGTTCTACAAGAACCTAGCTCACTCTGGTCAATTCAATAAAAAAAAAAAAAAAAAGAGTTAACTAGCTTTAAAACAAGTACCTGGCCTACCTGCTTAAAAGAAAAGAATTTTACTGTAACAATTCTTCTATTTTCTTAAAATGACATCGATTTAGCCTTTTGCATTACAGAGTATATAGTACTACGTATATACTTGTATGCTTCCTCCGTTTTTTAAAATTGCAATGTTGGCCTGTCGAGGCCTTGAGGGTATATAGTTTTTACGAGGGTGTATAGTTTTTATGGAGAAGACTAGAGGAGAGAAATAGAGAGGGATAAAGAGAATTTATGTGATGCGAATGGAGTCATAGAAGGCACCAGCTAAATGAAGTAATTTTGCAACTATTTTTGTACCTTGCTGAAGAGAAGTTGGAATCATTGTTGTTATTGTTGTTGCCTAAGTGATTAGAAAAAAAAAATTAACAAAAAATGGCGGATTTAAGTTATTGAAAGAAGCACTCCATCATTTTTTGTCACATGTTTACTAACAATATTGGTATTATTTGTTGTTTGATATTTGGATTAATGTCAATGTATATTTTTAATATGGAAAATGCTATACATAGCCCTTAGGGCTACATATAAGCATTAAAAATACTCTTGAAAACTGTTTAAATTTAGAAAATCATGACAAATTCACACTAATTACACTGATCTACGCGTGTTTTTGTCATGAATTCCTAATTTTATACAATTTCCAAGAGTGTTTATAATGCTTATATATAGCCCTAAGGGCTATGTATAACATTACCCTTTTAATATATCAAGCATTTGTTATTTATACTGTAATAGTTACTTTGTAACAAATTGTCACAATTAATAAATAGCAAATATTACATTTTGTTATCAACTTGATATGATGAAATGATGAATGATGAGTGTCTTTATGCATTCTATGTAGAGTATGCGGATCCTAAGTATGTTTGTGATCAATTATTTCATTTCATATCAAGCAACTCAGAACCTTGACACTTGGATATAATTAAGTGGGATGCTTTAATACTTCATTTTAGCTCAAAATCATTGAAACAAAATCACTAAATAGCCAAATCGGACACTAGGAGTTTAGGACACACATTTAGTTGTATCGGATATGGACATATGGTTACTGGAGTCCAAATAAAATAGCTCAAAATACAATTACCTTCTAGATTGACAAAGAAAACTAGGGTTTAGCTTTTAAGAGACTTATAATTCATTTTTTTTTAAAGAAGAGACAGAAGAGAGGCGACTAGAAAATTCCTTTACCCTTATTTAAAATTATAAATTAAACATCCTAAATTAATATACTCCGTAATTAGTATCATAGTATGTGATTGTTGTTAATATGGTGAACACGTTAGCTTTGGTTTACATGGTTGCAGAGAAAGAATAAACCTGCACAAGAAGTAATTGCTATACATGTAATGTAGGCTACTGTCAACTATACATTTAAATGCTTTGCTTCTTAATGCCGTTTTTGTTTTTTATTAGCTTAAGACAAATTCTTTGCTGAAAGTGACTAATTTGGTGAAGGTAGTTTAGACTATTCTTAGTATCATATGATCATGATAACGACGTAAATTTAATTTAATTCTATGTTTGAAGAATGAGCATTTTGGAACTATGTAAATTGAGTTTTTAGAGCAAATAAACATCATAATTAGTGAGAATTGTGATTAAAGGGGTTGTAATCGTAAGCCATAAGCTTCACAAATTAAGGTTAATTGATAGTAAATTTTGGAAGTGGTTGTATTTATCCAAGTTATTGACCAAACCATTTTTAATCAAAAGAAGGATAAAAAGTTAATTTCTTAATTGATTTCTTATATCTTGCCTTTGAAACATAAAGTGGTTGCACTAAACTTTAAAGCGGAGGGATTATTTTGACAAAGTTGCAAATTGTGAAAGATTTTGATTGAGTACTTTTTTTTGTTAGTATGGGTCATAGAGAAGGTACTTTATCGACCTATCAAATCAAAACTTTATACGAACCAATTTGTTACGGGTTAATTGATAATGTCTCTTAAGTAGGGGGTAAACGAGTGAGAAATCACCCTTAAAGTGCCGCTAATGGATAATTAATTGAACAAATTCAACTTTATTTTAATAGATGTTCATGTTACATGTACATAGTCCAAAGTCTCTAATGCAAGAAAAGAGCGTCTACATACGAATATTACTTAGCTTGTTTGCAAGTTGCAAGGTTAGATGGGATTGTGGGCTAGTCAGCATAAGAAATGAGATCAAACCGTAGCTACCAAGAAATCTTATTAATCTTAATATTATGGAAAGAATCAATATAACTTCGACATACTTCGTATCTTACTTGATTTTTGTGATATTTACGCGGTTTGTAATTCGATACGTATTATGTTTAATATAATACAACTATACAAGTAATTTTTTCCTGTAATTCATAAGGCTTAAAGCTAGCCTTACTTTTTCATGTAAAACTATGATGTAGATCTTGATGAATGATGATCACCACATGCTTGTATTTACTTGCTTAGGACCTATTCTCATACGTTGAAGTTCAGATCAGTTCAATTTAGTTCAGCTCCTAATTTCCTTCTCTTATAAAATATTTATTTCAGTTCAGTTCAGCTGAGTTCAGTCAATGAGAACAGACCCTTAATACTCGTACAAATTATCATAGGGAAATTTTTTTTATTTTTTTTCTATATTGGACTTTATTTTATTTTTTTAGTGGACCAAATTTCATCCAAGTATTTTAAAGCAGTAATAATCTATAGGCCTGTTTTCTTCAGCTTATTTTTTAATTTATAGTTCAGTTCAATTAAGCTCCAATAAGTTCAGCTCCAATCAGTAACAATCTAAGGGTTTGTTCTCTTCAGCTTATTTTTAGTTCAGTTCAGTAAATCAGAATAGGCCTTAATAACTTAGAAATTATAACTAAGGGCCTGTTCAATTCAGCTTAATTTCAATTCAGTTCAACTCCAATCAGTTGAGTTCAATTCAATTCAGCTCTTAGTTTCTTTCTCTCATAAAATATTCATTTTAGCTCTATTCAGTTTAGTTTAGTTCAGTTCAGTTTAGCTCCAATAAGTATAGTTCACTTCAGCTCAGTTTAGTAAATGTGAAGAGACCCTAATTAAAAGATTAGGCTACTGTTTGGAATTTTATTTTTATTTTTTCTTTTTTATATTCCAACCTTGTAAAAAGTTGGGCTTTATTTTGTTTAGCTTAAATGTCTATTTTATTTATAAACTTAAACCAATCTTATCTTAATCTATCCGAGCTTAGTAAAACTTATCTGAATTTTATTAAACTTATTTTAAATGTAAATTGAGCTAGGTATATTTTAACTTTCATCAGAACTTTTTATCTAACTTATCAAGTTCCAATAAGCGTTAATCTAATATATGTATAAATAAAGTAGGCATTTTTCGGGAGCATTTGGCGCGCCACATAAGAAAAGGTATTATTTCGACCAATGAAAAATTAGATTAATAATTTATTTTAGAATTAAAAAATTTACTCGCCACCTAAGAAAAAGTGACGAATAGTATTTAAGAATTTTGACACATAGGTATTGAATAATTAAAATTAAAATTACTTTTTAAAAAACCAATAATTATCTTTTCTAAAAAAAAAGTAATAATTATCTTTTTTTTACATGCAAATTTTTAATCGCAAATGTCTTTAATCTCTCTCTAGAAAATATTGTAAAAGTTTGGTTTTACGAATAGAGAATAATTAAAATTAAAATAAAAAAAAACTAAGTAATATCTTTTTTTACACATATGGATGCAAATTTTTGATGGAAAATACTACGTATCTTTAATCTCTCCCTAACAAATATTATAAAAGTTCGATTTTAATAATGTACTCATCAAGACGAATAAAACTAAATCTTATATGACTGATTTCCCATAATTTTTAATAGTTAACCAGTTAATCAGTTATAAATGAGACTTACATTTAAAACAGAGCGAGTATATTAAATAAACGCATAGGCAAAAGACTTATTTTGATCAATAAAAAATGAGATTTGTCATTTCTTTTTTGAATTAAAAATTTAAATTGTCACATAAGCAAATTAGTGAATAAGATTTGAAATTTTAAATTCAAGCGTCACGTAAAATAAATAAAACAACAAAAGATAACTTTAGTGTTAAAATTAAAATTATCTTATGATATTAGGAATTTTATCCATATATCTAATGAATGATCTTCATAAATATACAAATTTTTTAATTAAATAAAATGATTTACTAGAACCGTGCATCGCACGGGCTTACATCTAGTTTACAACTAAAATAAATTATGATAAGGTCTAATAATATAACACATTCTTAACAACAAATAAGTTCAAATAAAAAGTTTTGATATACTTAATAGTTACAACCTACTACACATAAGTTCAACAAAATTAAGTTACGATAAGTTGAATAGAACATAATACGGAGTATTTTCATTAGACGATTCCTTTACGAATTTAATATGGCGTGTGTTTCGGGGTTTTCTGATGTCCTGCGGGAGAGTTACAATTCCGAGACTGGAACCGGACGCCTGTACCTGCAAAATAACGGAGACTCCTGTGAGCTCCGCCTCCAACGGTCAAGTTAGTACCTGATTAAGGAGTAATTAATGCGGAAATTAAAGTAATAAGGTCTCTCTAGGTGAGAGTGTTTAATGTAGGTAATCTGCTTTGTTAGCGAGATCAGCCGGTTATTAGTGTGTTCCGTAATGTTTCTGTTCCGTCCTCTCCCTTAATGAGGATTAAGGGAGGTATTTATAACCTTGGGAAACG